TAATTGTGGACAACTTGAACTCTTAACTACACATGTCGTTGCCAGTGGTTTCCAAAATGAATGTTACAAACATAATACATTAAGAGCGGAACAACAAATAACAACAATGGGAATAACAGAGGAATAACATAGGAAATACGAATAACATAGGGGCTGCGAGACAAACGATGAAAGTGGACATTTATCAGACGACTTGGGAATACGGCGAAATAGCATAAAGAACGTAAAGTTATTTGTTATCGCTTGTAAACTCGAGCGAATACTTTGTGATTTGCATAACCCGCGCGAAGGTACGGTCAAACTATTTAAACATAGCCGCGCGGACTGTGACTAGGAGGGGGATTGGTTCCTACAATTAGGCTAGGGCATAACTGCTTTCATTGGATAGTTTTTACGGCTCAATATCTCTTTATCTCAGAGATGTATGCATATGGGAAAAATTGCGAGAAAATCACCATTTGAGGCACTAATATATTAAGTAAATTTGAGAGGCTCATATGCTAAAATACGTTGTTCTACTATCTTTAAAAGATTAAAAAAAAATTTTCTGTTCTTTTTGTTTTTGCCTTTTTTTTTTTTTGGCTGTTTGTTTGTTTGTTTTTTGTTTTTTGTTTTTTTGCATTCTTCAAACCTCTCTTGGAACGATTGGTTACCATTGCGTTGTTATTTTAATATGAAATTAAATAATTTCATTTCGAATGCACGGTAGGAAAAGAACTTTGTAAATAAAATGAATTTTCACCATTTGCGAAACCTTGAAAACATTACAGCATTTTTTTAAATTTCTTCTTCAACCCTTTATTTATGGAGAACTAGGAGAAATGGCTCTGACAGGATTTATGTTTTCTTTCCATCTCCGGAAGGTATCTTAAATATAACAGATTGAGCAGCGTTCCAGATCTCAGAGGAATAACAAGCATTAAAGGCCTGTAAGTTTATTATCACCATCCTTAAAGCTTTGAATTGGTCAAGGATAGCTGAGATAAAGACCATTGTGGAGGCAAAGTAGCTAATTGCCACCGGTTAATATATAATTTACAATATTTCCGCTATGGAGAAAATCGATACTCTAAATAACGGCGTGTTAAGTAAACATGAGAAAATGGGGTCGATGTAAAACTCACAAGTCAGTCATCTGATGTGGAAGTATCCCATCTAATAACTAAGCAAACAAAAACGATAAAAGGAAATTAAACATACCGGGAATTTAACACTCTCGGGTAATTCCGATTTAAGACTAGGGATTAAAATTACAAAATATATGTTGACCAAAGGTCTTGTTTAGTTCTCAGGACCTGTTACTCCCAAAGGGCGGTGAAGAAAAAACGAAACAAAACCATTTTTTTCTGACGATTTTCAAATCACGACCTCGTGTAGATTAAATCGAGCAAATAACATAACATCTGTCATATACACTTTAAACCCTTTTTGCTGCAGATGGTAGGAGTTTGAATTTTTTAATGCTCGCATTTAAGCACCGTTTTGTACGCACCACATATATTTAAATTACACGCTGCAGTAGACCTGTTACTCAGCTTTTTGGCATAGCTTAGATTTTATACATAAATTTTTACACTTGAAAAAAAAATTATGTTTAATATTTACAGTTCTTTTGTGTTCCTCCCCAGCTCTCTTGTAAAATTTCGTGCTAAAAATTTATGCGCAAAATATCCGTTAATCTATTTCTGTCACATTCTCACATGTTGGATGTAACAATAACAATAACAATAATAATCAAAACTATAACAAAATTCCCGAACGTGATTGGCTATCAGCAGCCCGATTTGGGCATTAATTGGACAGTGTACGCGTCATGCTTGTAATTGGACCTTGTGTTGTATCGATCCATACTCTTTATTTTGATCCTTTGATAGATTCCGAGATATGACAATGTTGTTCTATGAGTTAATTCCGTGTTCCGATAGATATTTTCCGTAATACAGAGATAGATCAATGTCCACGCTAGACTCCTTTCCGTTCTCTTCGATTCCTTTTCTGCACACGTTTTTCAAGTGTCAATCATGAGACTCGACTCAGACCTCGCAGATCAAACCAGCTGCAGTCCCTAACTTATTTACAACACACTCCCCCCTGATTGACTGAGTCAATCATAAGGTGAGACAAAATGTTAACTACAACTCGTAATGTCAGTTCAGTGTTCAAATCGGTTCAGACAGTTTATGCAACAGTAACTATTG